GGAAGGGAGAGCAATCCTTAATAGGTACTGAAATAGAGCAAAATGTATTTCATACATACATGAACATGTCAAAATGAAATACACTATTATTTATAACTATGATGTACTAACAAAACAAAAAACTTCTGAAATGTTAGCTAACAAAAGAATCTTCAAGCTGATATTGATTAAGTTATTAGAAAATTTTAATTGAGTCCCCTTAAAAAGTCTCATTATAGAGATCATTGCTACAGAAAGCTTTTAAAAATTATATACATTTTCTTGTCCAATTTTTCAAATCATAGCTATAGTATTTTGTGAATTAAGATATTACACAACACAACTGAACTCTGACAATGATTATGCCATGTCATTATTCAAAACATCTATAAACTTTATGGTATATGTTTTCTACATCTTAGTACAACATGTTGAATAGTTGGGATTAAATATGTATGACTGAAGAAGATATTTATTAACAGACATTAAGGGAAGATATATGAGTACAAAGTCTCAAAGAATATTCAGACATTGAGTATCAGTTAATTCAATTTTTACATCTATAAACTTAGGCCACTGATCAAATGCTCAAAGTTTAATATTAAATAGAACTATTTTGCTTTAGAAACAGACTGTATTTTAAGAAATATGATGAAACAAAAACTTTCAAAATTATATTCCTGCTTTTAACATGCTGATAATCAACTCAGCACATCTTGAGATTTTTAGAAATACAAAATATTTGCACTATCTATGGTGCTTAATGTTCACTTTAAATTTTGATTTTGGTGCCAGAGAATATTCATTTTAAATGTTTTGAATCACCTCTAGAAAGCAATGCTGTTTCTCTAAGAGGTTTATTTCGGGAGTATTTTTACTAGCAGACAGATTTATCGCTGGTAACTTGCTGTCAGTCTGTCTGTGACAAGACAGAGCAGACAGACAGGGTGCACCCCAGAGCAGATGGGGAATGTGTACACAAGAGCAGCTACACTACCGGCTTTAAGGGAGGCATGTGGTCCACAGAGAGAAGTGAAAGGCAAGTGGAGCCAAGCAAACCACACAGGTCAGGTAGGGGAAGAGACACATATGGGCTAGAGAAGACATGATTCCATATACTGGCAGGACCAAGGGACTCTAAGTGGAGGAGACCAGAAGCCAGGACTGACTGACTTTTTGGACAGTTATAGACACAGCATTAAAAGCCATGGTATGAGAGCCACTGGTATGAGAGCAGTAAAAGTAAAAACTTTTCCATATTAACTCATAATTCATTTTCAGTACAAATATAAATTCATATTATTCAGTTATTTATGTAAAAACATTCAAAAATCATTATTTTTTTTATCTTTAAAGAGAAGAGTTAGCTCAGTAAAAGGAGAGTTGCCACCTTTACTGCCAAATTCTTCAAAGGATTTTTCACAAATTGGTTCAGAAAGCTGTAAAAAACATGGTGGCTATTTTTAATTTTTTTTTAAAGTGAGATTTCTGGAGTAAGACTACTTATATTCACTGTGGTTACTGGAAAATTGAAAAAGTCAAAATAAGAGGATAATATTGGACCTTATAAAATATATATAGTCAGGGCAAATATCTGTGATTTATGTAGAGGAAGCTCTAATAATTTAGACAGGTTATACTAAGTGATTCTGTAATCAATTATTTCACCCAAGTTCCTTATTCCAGCTATTTATAATGCATGATTCACTGAAAACACAGAATTCTTGGTGGTCAACTTTTAGAACACTCATCCCTTACATTAAGTAATAATTATAAGGTGGCATGGAACAATGAATAAGGAAACTGATAAATAAAAGCTACAAGGCCAATTCTACAGTCATGAACAAAAACTGCCTGAAAAGTGCTATTAACTTAATGAAAACATCACTTAACAGATTAGAATATATCTTTTGAATGGATAGAGGAATGCTATAATTCTTAGCAGTACATGCAGGCAAAAATGGTACTGTATCATATATGCTAATATGAATTGAATTTTAAAATCTGTTTATAAGATATAGTATAGATTTTCAACTAGCTAATTCATCTGAACCATATCTAAAAACATTTCAGACAATTCAACTTCTTTGCACATTCTGAATGACACCATATTTTAGAGTCTATTACTGATTTTTCATTGCTATCTTTAGAAGAAAGTTATTATTCAACAATGAAGAAGAGATATAACTCCATAGTGTCATTTCAGCAAGAGGTATTTTCAGCAATAAAATGAATGAATGTTTAGCAAATATTCAGTAAGTTCAGTTAATGTAAACAGTCCGGACTACTGACTCAAAATTAGGGCTACCAAGTTGTACACAATTCAAATTCACCTAGTAATTGCTAACATTCCACTGCATATTCTGGTGAGGAAATGTGGCATTCAGGTACATGTTATCAATGGCCCAGTTCTATATCCAAACCAAGAAAGTCCCATCTAAATTTGAAAAATAAAACTTTTCGAATTTAATTTCTTAACCAGTAAGACATTTATTATGTTTGGTTTCTTTTTCTCCCCACCCCCTTTACATTATACTACTATCTAATTTTGAGGTGTTCAGATTTATATCAGTCTTCTGGGTAGTCTGGAATTATAAAGAAAAGCCTGTCTAAGCCATAAAAGGGGCAAGGACCAATATGACTGATAGAAGTTCATGGAGGAAATATGCTAAAAGACATCAGGCATCCATCTGGACAACAAACTTTCAGTGAATCTAGGTTCAAGTTTTTTCTTATCAGCAGGTAGAAAATGATGCTATAAGGTAGAATACTGACATGTAGAGCTTCCTCTACATGTCTAGATCCTTACCCTTTAGGTGAGAGAGGAGGGCTTAGGGTAGCAAAACTGTCTACTTACATCTGACATTAAGTGATCTTGTCTGCAAATCCAGAGCGCTGTATAATTTTATACTTTCCTTTATGTGTGCTATAGCAATAACCTTAATAATTTGTTGGTAACCATGAATTATGGTTCCCGTGGACCTTAGAGAACTGGTAAAATGAGTCTGAAGAGAAAGAAGGTTATGTTTGCACTCTCTCCTCCACACACACACTTCAGTTCCTCTCTCACTGTTTTGTATTTTCTTCTACTACTAACAGGTGATATACTTTACTTATTTATTTTGATCTTTGTCTTCCCCACTAGAATGCAAGCTCCATGTGGAACTTTATTTGCTGAAATTCTCTGTGGTGTTCCTGGCACCTGGAGCAATGTTTGGTACATAGTATATACCTGCTGAACCCAGAGAGGCACTCTGGGAGCACTTGGAAGGGACTGAAATTATACCAGCCTCAGCAGCAGGGTAATGTTACCTCAGGCAGAACCAATCTGGCAAAGAGTGTCCTGTCAGTCATGTGAAAGCCAAAGTAAGCTGCACCCAAACTTGTAGGAAATCAGAGATATCAACACTCTCCAACCTTGCTGGTTTTCAAACATGTATATTTTTCTTTCCCTTTTCCCTTGGTAAAAGCCTCCTCATCAACAGTCACAGATTATATTAACTTTTTATTTTTTTGGGGGGGGAAAGCAACACATCACATGGGATCATTTCTAATTTAATCTTTACTACTGCTCCAATGCCTCTTTCAATTTTATTGTTTCCAGATTTCTATGTCTTACAAACATTTTTTTTCATTCAAATATTCATTTTCTTTTTGCATTCTCCACCCTATTTTCTATCCTTTTGAGGATCTAGTTTCTGCATAATATTTTGTGATCCTTATCAATGTCACACGGAACACAGAAAAACATGAATAAATAAAACCCCTTGTTGTTTTTAAATAGAATTAGAGACAAGAAAATGGGAGAATATCTACAAATTCACTCCTATAGGATTAAAATAATAAATAATAGTTCAAAAAATGATAGCCTTGAATTCTAAATGGCTGAGATTGTATAATACTGCATTACATTTTTATAGTATCTTGCTCATCTGGAAAAATACTGAAAAATCTTTCCAGAAACGGTAGAAATTGCCCACATAGAATTTCTACAAATAAGTGAGGCAGATATTTGCTATTGCCATTTTATAGAAAACAATAAACCAAAATATGGACTATAAAATAAAAGAAGATTCTATTACATCATTCTCTGAAGAACAGTGTGCTTAACTGGTCAATTTTATTAGTAAGTTTAAAAAAAAAAGTGGGGAATCAGCTACTTATCACAGATTCAAAACCTCTCAAATATCCACCATTCACTTTATGGTACAATTATGGAAAAGTTCAACTTCACTTTAAGTATAAGGCCAACATTGTCAATAATGAAGTAGGAAGTTGTAGAGTACTATAGTTGCTTTCAAATAGTAAATAAAAAATAAAAATAAAAAGATAAATAAGAATAATATGACTGCACTGAAAATAATGGTCAGTGATATTTTAAGTAAAAATTTAAATTTTCTGTACCTTTTAAAAATTTATAGGTGCATAGTAAATACAATTCATAAATTGAAGTTATTATGAGAAATATATCTATTTTTCTTGTAAAGGGAAATAGATTTAGTTATAAAGGAAAAATACAGTATTAAATGAGTATGTGTTTTCTTAGGCAATCTCACTGCTATCATTTGAAACTTTCAGTCAACAGGTAAAATATAACAAGAAAAAAACCTTTATGATTTAGCAAGCTCAAAGGAAAAAAAAAGGATTGCATTAAATTGAATTTACAGCCTAAGTAGTCATTACAAATTTGTGGTCAGTACATACACGGAAAACTTCAAATAATATTAATACTTTAAATTATAAATTATAGGATTATTGATCAGAGAAGTTGGTGTTTCAAAGGTACTTCAACAACTTTTGGTTATTTCCATTTGAATTTCTTTTTTTAAATTTTTAAATTTATATATGAGAGCAGAATGCATTACAATTCATATTACACATACAGATCACAAATTTTTCATATCCCTGTTTGTATACAAAGTATATTCACACCAATTCATGTCTTCATACATGTACTTTGGATAATGATGTCCATCACATTCCACCATCATTTCTAACCCCATGTTCCCTCTCTTCCCCTCCCACCCCTCTGCCCTATCTAGAGTTTGTCTATTCCTCCCATGATCCCCCTCCATACTCCACTATGAATTCTTGTCATCACCTCAATCCATCACCTCAATGAAATAGGTCATAAAATAATTTCACCATCTTCTGCCTTTAAATGATTTCCCTTCCAGTTCCTCTACTTCTGGTAATGTTATTTTCATTGTCCAGTTACTTACACTGGAGCTTATTGTTGCCTCTTCCCTTTCCACATCTGATCTATTTAACATTAAGGAGAGTGGAGTCTTCCTTAGTGTATCCATTAGTTCTCTTATTCTTTGCATTGTCATTGCCATCACTCCAACACATACTTCAAATATATCCTTGCATTGTCATCAAAGCTTGCTCAGTCTACGATCTGGGACTTCTTTTTCTTTTCTTTATGTTCTTACTAAACATTCACTGCTCAACATTTTAAAGGACTTTAAATGTTGAGGAAAATCCCTGATTTTAGTTGAAAAAATTCTGTTTATATAAATAAGTATGGGTAGTGTTGGGGGTGCTAGCCCTAACTTTTCTCTTATTTGATGCAATATAATGTTGATGACAGCTTCAACATTAAGAGACACCCACTAGCAGAAGGATCAGAAAACAATTTTTCCTTTGTTAATTTCTAGGGGAAAAGATAGCCATGATGAGCTCTTATTCAATGCTATATCTTCTGCTGCCAGAATAGCGTCTGGAAAATAGTGAGTATTCAAGAAATATTTGAGCACTAAATGGATATGTGCTGAGGTGTATATATGAAATCTTCTGATTTATCTCAAACCCCACAGGAAATAGAGGGTTGCATAGCAAGTTCTGTCCTAAGAAAAAAATTCGTTCAGAGAAGAGCTAAATAATTAAGATGACTTAGTATAATATCAAGTGAGTATGATAAAGATGAAAAGTAATATCTTATTTCTGATAAATTGCACAGCAAAGTTCAGCCAGGTAGTGAGGAGCAAAGGTAGAAATAAACTGTGTTCAATGACCATTTTATAATTTCTTTGGAAAGAAACCCTAAGATTAGAGCTAAGATGAGCCTTACAAGGCTGTGGTCTCAAAAAAAGGATTAAGGTGGTTTCTACTTGAGCTGTGAGTGACCACCACAGTTGAAGTTTAACCCTGATGCAATAATTATTTACTGCTATGGGATAAATCACCTCCAAACTTGGCAGTTTAAAACAATGAAACACTTCTTATCGCATGGTTTGTGTGGGTCAGAAATTGAACATAGCTTGGCTGGGTGGCTCAGGCTCTGGCTCTGGCTCAGGGTCTCTTACCAGGCTACAATCAAGGTGTTGGTTGAGGGTGAAGTCATCTCCAGGCTCAACTAGGAGAGAATCCTTTTCCAAGGTCACTCAGTGGCTGTTGGCAGACCTTAAGCCCTACTGGCTCTGGGCCAGTGATACCAGCTCCTTACTATGTGGGTTTCTCCACAGAGCAGCTTACAGCACGGCAGCTGGTTTCCATCAGAGTGAGCAGGCAAGAAGACAAGAGAGAGCCTAAGGTCTGCCAACATTCACTGGTCTTACCATGTTCCCCTTTATCCTCAAGCAGCAGGCTTGACAGAATGGTGGAATGAATTTTGGGAGATTGTTATGATGCCTGCTAGGTGGCAACACCTTGCAGATCTGGAAAAATGTCTTCCAGGATATGGAATTCACTCTAAATCAGCATTTAATATACAGTCTATTTACCCTTAATCTGGGGGTGAAGGGGATAAAAGTGGATCAGCTTTTTTTCCTATTACCCTTAAAACTGCTGTTTCCCATGGTCTGACTTTAGACTCTCCTGGTATAAATGTCTTGGCTCCACAGGGAGAAATGTTTCCATTGGGAGATAAAATAATGATTCCACAGAAATGTAAGCTGAAACTACTGTCTTGTCATTTTTGAGCTCCTTAAGTGGAATCAACAGAAGTAGAGAGTATTGCTATACAGGGTGGATAATGGATCCTCATTTCCAAAAGAAAACTGAGTATCTACTACACAATAGGGGTAAGGAAGAATATGTCTGCAATACAGGAAGTGCTCTGGTGTGTCTGCTAGTACTTTCTCCAATTACTATCAATAGGATACCACAACAATCTAATTCAGGCTCATGGCCATGATTCTTCAAGAATGAAATTATGGGTCATTTTTCCAGGCAAGGAATGTTAATCAGCTAAGGTACCTGCTAAAAGCAATGGGAATACTGAACGGGTAGTTGAAGACGGCAGTCATAAATATCAGATATGACTACATGATCAGTTGCAAAAAATAAAGAATATAATAGAATTTCTTCTCTTTAAAAATATATATGTATATATTAGTTATTGATAGACCTTTATTTTATTTATTTATATGTGGTGCTGAGAATCGAACCCAGTGCCTCACACACATGCCAGGCAAGTGCGCTACCACTGAGCTCCAGGCCCAGCCCCTTCTTTATTTTGACATGAATATGTGTATGCAGATATACACACTATTTTAGTTTTTGTCTCCTCTTTCATTCTTTTTCTGTTTTATTTTTTTTAATATTTTATTTTAGTTGTAGTTGGACATAATACCTTTATTTTATTTTTATGTGGTGCCGAGGATCGAACCCAGGGCCTCACATGTGCTAGATGAGCACTCTACCGCTGAGCCACAACTCCAGCCCCTCTTTTTCTATTTTCTTAAATTTATTTGTTCTTGGGTTGGGGTTGTGGCTCAATGGTAGAATGTTTGCCTCACATGTGTGAGGCACTGGGTTCGATTCTCAGCACTGCATATTAATAAATGAATAGAATAAAGGTCCATCAACAACTAAAATATTTTAAAAATTTATTTGTTCTTTTCAGTTATACATGACAGCAGAATCCATTTTGATATAATTACACAAGCATAGGATATATTTTATTCTCATTAGGATTCCGTTCTTTTGGATGTACATGATGGTGGGAATCACTGTGTTGTTTTCATATATGTACATGGGCCATAATATTATGTCCGATTCATTACACTGTCTTTTATTCCTTTATCATCTAAGATGTATCAATAATAACTTTATCATACAATATTTAAATTATAGGATACCAAAGGTGAGAAGAATGCTATAAGGCAATGACAATAAAAAGACTTTGTACCTACTTCTGGGAAAAGGGTAGGTATGTTTTCAGTTGTACATGGGGTAGCTGTTCCATGTTAGATGCAAGAATGACTTTATTAATTTCTTTAACTGGAAATTAAGTGTGTCTTAAAGAGATGTATATGAGTGCCAAATTGGCATGGGGGCCATTGTGGTAGATTTTTAATGTGTAAATTTGGCTAGGTTGAATTACATTTTCCAGAATTATTTTTCCTATGTTTCTGGTTAGGATGGTACACAAGGGATTTTTTTTTTTCCATTTGGTGGGAAATTTGGAGGCTTAATGTGAGACAGCAGCATTTCTAGCACACACATGTTGTCACTTATCTGCTGGCTCATCTTATGGTGTGAGCCAATAGCTAGGATGGCATCTGCTCCACCTTCTCTTGAGTTCTCCAGCATCTTTGACTCCTGGTGCAGATATGTGTGTGTTTAGCTCCATATGACAAAGGGCAAACACTTCTACAGGACACCCAGACGACCAAAAACAGAAGCAATAAGAACTGAGATGGACTTCAGTCCATCTCCGTCTTTACATAGATTCCAGCTCTTGTTTATGGGTTCTAGCTCATTCTTGCTCTCTGCCACTTTATATCTAGCTTCCTTTACTAGGTATTTGCTTTGTGGACTCAAGTTCCAGGATCAAATGCAAAGTTAACACTTACTGACACTGTTTCACTAGTTCTGGTCAAATATTTATAACAAATATTTTCCTTTATACTGAAATAATGCAGTCTGTCTTCATTATTTGTACATTCCATATTTATAAATTCAGTAATTCACTAAAATTTATTTGTAACCCTAAAATCAAAATCAACTTGGCAGTTTTTCAATCATTCACAGACATGCACATGTGCAGAGAGGTTAAAAAATTGAGTCACTGTTCTTAGCTAAAGTTGAACAAGGCCGTACTCTTCCTTCTTGTTTCAGCTCTCACACTGTCAACAAGTGTCCTTTCCCAGATGACTTAGTATCATGTTTTTCATATTTTTGTGATTTCTCTGTTTCAAATGGCGCCCAAATATAGTGCTGAGGTACTATCTAGTATTTATAAGTATGAAAAGGCTGTGATGCATCTTATGGAGAAAATATGTATGCTAGATCAGTTTTGTTTAGGCATGAGTTAGTACTGCTGGCCATGAGTTCAATGTTAATGACTCAACAATGTATATTAAATGAGTTGTCTTTAAACAGAAACATATAAAACAAATTTATATATTGATTGGTTGACAAAAATGTGACCAGAGGCTCACAGGAACATGACACTATACATCCCTCAAGAATAATGATCCAGTATTTGCTAATTTGGTGTTCTCAGTGACTTCATAGAATATAATCACCATGAATAATGAAAATACATTGTATATTATATGTACACAAATACATACATAAATTATGTATATAAACATATTTGTGTGTATGTGTGTGTGTGTGTGTGTGTGTCTGTGTGTTTTGTAATGTACAAATCTCCTAAGGACTGCTTTTACAATTAAATTCTGAGAAACTTATAAAATTCAGCTATAGTGATAGTGAAACTCACCTGAAGTTTATGTATTAATGGTAGTGGTATTTAATTATCACAATAGTTCATTATCTAGAATTTGAGTTATTCTCCAAATTATTTCCTCCCAATATGTAAACATCTCTGCAATTCTAAGACACTTAGGGATTAACTATCACCTATGATTGTTACATGGAGTAGTTTGTGCTCCAAATATCTGCTTATTCTGCTTATTCTCCAGCATTCATGGCCAGAAATGTCCATTTCTGTTATTAGTCACAATCAGATATCACTGCTCACTTTGTGTCATCATACAAATTGGTTGGGAGCTGTGAAAGCCAAAATAAGAAAGCAACGACAATGCCACTCTCTTTCCTTACCCAGAGACTCACGTACAGATCCTGTAGGCTGGAAACAATGCCATCCTTACATTTTCTTCCAAATGCTTCCTGAGGTGTTCACCTCTTCACCTCTTTCCTTTCAACAGGCAGGCCCGTCTTGCCTTTATTCTCTGTGAACATCTTCAGATCTATTCCAGTCCTTGCTCCTTGTACTGCTGTTTCTTTTACCTACGATGCCATCTTGCTTGTCTTCCCACAATCTAAATTCTATCTAACACACAAGGTCCAGCTAAAAATCTTAGCATGAAAAAACTTTTCTTTCCTAAAGACTCTAGGCCATACAATAGTCTTGACTGCCTGACTTATCATGGGGTTGGTGCTTGATCAGAGATAAATATCCTGTGAAAAATTGTATATGGCTACCAGTCTGTCTTTTTTAGGCATTGTCTATCCAAGCTCCAATAGCAACTTTCTATTACTCTTAATTTATCTCACTTATTTATCTTACTGAAGTTTTGGTAAGCATTTTAAGCTTCTGAAGAAATTTTGATAGTGGATTAGACTGATGTCATATACTACCAATAATTCTTTCAACAGTTCTAGGTAGCACAACATACTTAATTCACAAAAAAAGGATTCTACATCTCATTGGCATGTTTTTAACCTTAAAAAAAAAAGACAAACCCACATATCTTTAATCAAACTCATACCTGCTGAGACTCGGGGACAGTCAGGTAGCATGGACTCCACTGATGTATCTAATGGTTCTGAGCTAGAGACCCAATTACAACAGTTCTGCAATGTAAAAGAGATAATGTGGTTGAAACACAATTGAAACCATGGCCAAATATTCAGTTGAAAGAGATAAATTTGTCCTATAAAACCAATAACTGGAAGTATATTCAATTTATTTACTATATATTTAAAATATTTTTCTTATGTAAATAATAATTTTTCATGACAAAAATGACTGGAAAAAGTATATTTTTTGTTTTAGCAAATCATCTGTGCTAATATTAAGAATACATGTAATCTTCTGTGAACTCTGATATACTATATTTCTAAGAAAAGGTTAGATGCCAAGAAACATGTGAATAAAAGGATTATAATTAAGAAAAATTTAAACAGATATCCTTTAAAAACTTTTAGAAATGATTCTTACTTTGACATAGGAAAGAATAGCTAATTTCTAAACTATACTCTTTGTGGAATACTAGAAGAAATGAATTTTGCATTTACTCCTCAAAATCTGGCCCATATAAATGTACTATTTTAATTTTTACTTTGACTTGCTTCATGAAGGCTTTATCAAAATGGTTATATAGAAATTCCCCTGGTGAACTGCAGCTGTGTATCTGAGGACACAAACTTTTCAGTCTTAAAGATCAGTCTCTAAGGTGATGATGATTTGCAACTCAGACAAACAAAATAAAAATACTCTATTTCTTTTATACATTTTAAGTATTCATTTTAATTATGGATTAAAAGATATTAAAATCATATGACTTTAGAAAATTTCTCAGTTTTGTGCATGCACGCGCACAAACACACACACACACACACACACACATACTCAATTTCCAGACAGATTTTATTTTAAAAGAAATCATCCCATCAATCATGTAGGAAAAATCAGTGATTGCTATTCTGGTAAACAAGCATGTATTGTGTATTTATAGATGCTTGCTGCCCTGGTTGTGCAGCATGGAATCCGTCTTCACTGTGGAAAGATCCTTGACTGGTAGATCAAGTGTCTTATTGTATTTCCTTAATTCATTCTGTCTGGAAGAAGATGTCAGCTGTGTTGCAGTGAGGAGAGAATTTCAAAGGCCCCAGTCCCCACCAATAAAGGCCGAGGAATGGCTTTTGAATAGATTTGTCAAGGCAACCCTACTGTTCTGGGACCAGAGAGAGCAGGAATAATATAAAGGAAGGGTTGCTGTATGAGATTAGAAAGTGAAGTTCACAAAGCATGGCAGATTTTTGTAAGAAACAGTGGATCAATGAAACTATTGAACTGTGCAGGGAAAAAAACATGAAAACAAACACAACATCTAGTAATGTTCTTAAATGCTTTCTCTCTTTTTATATTTAAAATGGATAAAATATTACTATTTTCATGTATTACAAAAGCTTGCCAGTTTAGAATGGATATGTACTCTACAATGTGCACTCCTAATCTTAATTAGCAGATGAATGCAAAATTATACAATGTAAGAGAGTAGAAATTATAAAAGAAATAGAGTTTCAGAAGATATTTCATACATTTGAAATAAGTAAAATTCATATTACCATTGATAGAATACCACATCAGAGAATTCTAGATAATGCAGAAGATTAGCACACAATTAGCCAGCTTTTATATACAATGTGACACTTGCTTGTAAGAAATAAGTATTCTCCAAAGCAGTGTCAAGATATGTAAATGGATGATTTGTTTTATCATTCATCACAGCCCCTAATAAATTCAAAAATCATGACTTCTATAGGCACTAAAAATAGGCTCCCAATGATACAGGGAGATAGCTTCAATGAAGAATGACTTTCTCTTTCTCTCTCTTTTTCTTAAACAATTCAGTCTTTTCAATGACAGCAATTAGCACTACCAACAGACAGGCAGCGATTAGGTATATATTTTAATTATTATTCATCCGACTAGTACCTCCAAATCTGATGAAAGTTGGCTATTACCCAGGTAATATGTCAGTCTTTTAATACTGTTCACCTACAGTTCACATATGTAAAACTATATTTCACAAGCTTTTCTAGTATTAATAAAAGTGATGGTACATTATAATATACAGGAGATTAATCATTTTCTAACTTGTTATTGACTTTTTAAAGCTGAGCAAAATGAACTTTTGTCCAGGTTCTTCAGATCACCTTTAACTCAAACACTGACTCAAAGTACATGTTTTTCACGTTTTACAATTCAGAAATTTCAGTTTTTATCTAAGCATATGTCTTAGCCTTTGATCACTCATAAAAATCAGAAAGAAGTTAAGCACCCTACAGCTGAAGTGAATATGCCTCAAAGTTCTATGGAACGACAAAGTACCTGTATAGAACCGTAAAGGTTTGAAACTATAAATTTGTGTATATGTATGTGGCATTTTTACCCTACTGAGAAAATTATATAGAAAACAAGGCAAAACAAGCTAAAAATGTTTGCCATATGATAAGAGTATAGTGAAATTTAAAAAAAACATAAACATTGGAAAATACATGTAAAGAAATTCAGATAGCTATTACATATGAATTCAACATCTGAAATTCCATTTTATCACACTTGACTCTCCATGCTAAGTTTCTATAGTTACAAACCTAGTATCTTTCACTATTTTCTAATGCTTATCTATTGTTCTTATCAATGTCCCAATTTAGCCTTCATTCCAGTTCTTTAGTCAGGATAAACACTACTAAAATATTTCAGGTGGCAACAAAGATAGCCCACTAGGAAAGTCCTACAAAAATTCAAAATTTGAATTTTTTGAAATTTGAATGGTATGTGTTAGCAGCCTTTGAGAGCTTTTTCTCAGGTGCCCTGAGTAAGCATCAAGGCATGTTGGACTAGAAATACCAAAAGTTTCATGCTTGAGTCTCAGATGCAGTGCCCCTTAACATGAAGAAGCATAAAGAAAGAAGCCTTTGGCAACAGCCAGCAGTGTAGGATGAATCACAAAATGAGTGTTTCTCTGGGTCTGAAGGAAAGAGAAAACAGACAATGGCATGAATGTTATTAAGTATTTTCAATTTAAATTTTTTTGTAAGATCTCTGAGATTATGACTTTACAGATTTTTGTCATTGTAAAATTTCTTCTTTGTATAAGCCAAAAGTTTGGAATCTACTGATATAGAAGACCTAAGGCCTGGGTAACTCCATTTAACTTGAACCAAGGGTTTACAGTATTTCAAAGTAGATATGAAATGAAAAATTTTATAGGAATGCTAGGATCTACTATATTTAAAGAGAAAAGTAGGTAGTGGCTATTCCTGTGTAAGGTATTTGGAGATGCTTCTGCTGATTGAGTCTAGGTTTTTTCATACTATTTTTGCATTTGTCTGAAATGTACATAACAACTGATTTAAAGAGTGATTTTTAATATGGAAGGCACTGTATCTTCAGACAAGTACAACTATGATTCACTAGGCTGTTTCTAGAGCCTCCAATCAGAGCTGAAGGGTGACAGAAAGAAACAGGAAGAAACCACGACTATTCCACAGAACTGTACATCTGGTTTGGCTACAGACTTTCAGAGGCCACTCAGTTCTGAGAAGTGCCTCTTAGGAGCTGCCTTCAGTTGCTTTTCACCTCCATTCCTGAGACTGGCCTACCATCTACCGTCTTTTAGTTGGGACAAATTTTACTTGTAGCAATTATCAAAAGTAGCCCTCTTTGATCTTCTCCCTTTAAAGGGAATTATTATTATTCCCTTTCTCCCTTCTCTTTCTCCTTCTTCTTCTTCTCCTTATTATTATTATTACTATACTTTCAGTGCTGGGGATCAAACCCAGGGCCTTGTATGTGCTAGGTAAATGCTCTACCACTAGGCCATATCCCAGCACAGGAATTATTATTTAAAAATTGCACAAGTAAAACAAGATATACTTCTTAATCTTTGTGTTATATGCTAAATTGATAAGTTTAAAACAAATAACAGCTTTTATAGTAAAAAGCTTACCATTAATAATTTTATTACATTAAAAATGTTTGCAAAGCAAAACCAATTTTACTATTTTTTAGTATAATAGGAATGACTAGGCAATTTGTACCATTGTTTTACTTACAAATTTTAAAGCAATGTTTGATGCAATGATGAAGCCATTCATCAAGAGGATAAAAGCACTAAGGCTTCCTTCACAACCAAACTGTTATTTTTATGGACAATACTCCAGCTTAGCTAATGTACTTTTCTTGGGAAGTATAACTACAAAATTTCTCAGTGTGTTTATTGATCTCAAATGAAACTATAGGAGGTGGTAGGAAGAGGGCTGCTGAGGGAAACAAAGCTTGCCCTAGAGTACCTTCTCCCAAAACCCAAGTACAACAGCCCTTCCTATTTACTGTAATCCAGGCTTGTTTGTTCTTCATAATTTTGAGGAGTCTTATAGTGTGGAAAGGTACTGAAAATGAGAAAGAGGGAATGAAGTTTCATTCTGAGTGTTGGAAAACATTGAGCTTTTGTCTTGCCAAATCACAATGAAATCTTCTCTACTACCCCCTGGTCACATACACAGGTAGATTAGACAAGGACATTTGTCACAGACTTGTATACCCTCCATTTTGGTTGTCATTTTGGAAGAGGTCTCAGCAGGGATAATTTCAAAATTCAACCAAGAATGATCAAATAACTTTTATCTTGGAGATAGTATAGTGTTTGCTATAATAATATATCTCATCTCTTTATGTACTGCCATTTGCTTTTCAGGGGGTTTTCTTTTCTTTTTAAACATAGTGTCATTTTTTAAATACCTTTATTTAGTTTATTTATTTTTATGTGGTGCTGGGGATCAAACCCAGTGCCTCACGTGTGCTAGGCAAGTGCTCTACCACTGAGTAACAACCCCAGCCCAGGAGGTTTTCTTTTTGATCATCACCTTTGATTCTTGTAAGAAGAGATCATGAAGCACACAGAATAGAAATTATTATCTCTAATTTACAATTATGAAGCAGGCCAAAAAGATGGAGTGGCTTGTCTAAGAGTATAAGTGTTAGTGAAGTAGCTGGTACGTGCTAGAACCATAAGTACTGATTTACTTACTGTGAAAGGAAAAACATGCAAAGTGATGTGGTCAGAAAGCATCTCTGTATTAGAATTGATTTAACCCCCAGCTCCTTTATAAGTTTATAGCATTATAAGTACTGGAAAAAATATTTTGGACTTTCCATGTGTTAAAAGCACTTTTTCTAATGGAAAATAACAATAGTGATAGCACATTGGTGACACTAAAAATACAAATATATGGTGCATGTAATATATCATATACTTCTATCTACTCAAAATTCTTTTTGAATATTAACTCTCTGGTTCTTACAGTGGATTATGAAGCCTAGTAGAATTTATCCACCACACATTCCTATAGTGAGAGGCCAGCTAAAGATATATTCAGATATTCTATAAACAAAACCCAAGGGGGTTAGGGTGTGGCTCAGCAGAACAGCACAAGCCTAGCATGTGCCAGGCCCTGGGTTCAATCCCTAGCACCTCAGAAAACCCAAATAAATAAAAATACCCTGAGAGAAATGTAGGAAGATTAATCAGCTCACTCATATACATGCAAATAAATTATGTGACTAAACAATTGCTATAGCTAATTATTAATTATGATTACTATTGATTTGTTGTGGGATAGCTGATATCAACTGCTTATAATATCAGAAATGTAAATATAAAATAAAAGAAGAAAAATTTCAATTGGATATCTGGAATAGAATAAAGGAAATAATGGGCTGAAACTTTTGGAAAAAAGAAAAAAAATCATGCTCTATGAGGCCTTGTTAGTTTTCAGATTCACCAGCACGTAGGAAGTATAAAAAGATGCTTTCTTAGTCTGAGGCTAGACAATGGCCAGGGCCTGGGTTACTTTCTCCTTGCTCAGGGGTTTGGTATAATACTATTTTAGCTTTTTACTTCTTCTCCCCCTACTGGCAGTAGTAAGCCAATCAATTCAAGAGTGGCACATCCTTACTGTTTTTCCATAAGAAAAGGACAAGACTTGAGTGTTCACTAAGCTTCTTTTTTTGTCATTAAGAGATACCAATGCTAAATAGTGGAAAAATTAAACATCTGGGAATGAGAGTCTCCTTAGACCACATCACTCTTTAGCCAAAATTCTAACATATATTGCATGCATACATAATATTTTATGGAAAGCCAAAGGGCAGGGAGGTGCTTTAAAAAAATCATTTGTTCTTCTGGAGGGCTTTCTATTATTACTTTAACTGCATCCAGTTTTTCCTATTTCCTCTCAATGTTCTGCTTCTCCAAAGGGACTGTGGAAGTAGAAGGTGATAAATGTTGGTGGGAGTTCAAGATATAAAGACTCACAGCCATTCATGCAATATTGAACAAATCAAGTCTCACCTCTCTCATCCATTCCCGAATCGTTTTTCCAGCTTCTTGATGCCATACATTGTGAACAGAGTCTGTCAGTGCCACAGCAGTTACCTTACTTTTCACATCCGCTTCTCGTTGAATCATCTTGTTTTAAAAAAGAAAAATAAAATATTGGTTATATTTTTTCCTACTGAATGGAGCCTGCTTAGTCATACATAATAATATATTAAAAATGAAAAAAGCCATATCCATCTATGGCTCAAAGTTACTCTTTTCTGCACTGAACACATACTCTATTCTTGTCCATAGATGTGAAAAGACCTAATATTTTCTTTTAAAAAGATAATACCACTTAAGTCTTAGAACTACGCAGCTCTATTATTTTCCATGTGGTTTGACAATTCAAGGATTAAAGGGATCACAGGGGAATCCCTGAGGGTTTCTTTTACAAATTTTTTCCACCACTTCCAATTTCATTGCTTCAGGGAAGTTAGCACCTGGGGTTCACTGTTAGCTATTTAGGACTAACTTCTACTAATTTTCAGTACATGGCAGATCAGTAAAGACAGATATCTTGTTTTAACTTCAATTTAACTAGCCTGTTCTTCACCATAGTCTTGTAATTCTTGGTGTTTTAAATGCCTGCAAAAATCCTTTTTTTCCCCCAAAGTCTTATCAACATTGTTTCTCTTTTCAATATTTTATTTCTTTATTTTGGCAAACTATTATACTTAAACTTTTTTTTTCTATAGAATGTTATGTCTATAAATAACTTCTAAAAAGAAAAAAAAAGATCACTCAGCTTGAGATACTGACAAATTTGTCAGTGGTTTGCCAGATAAAGAAACTGAAAAATAAAATTCTACATCAAAACAATCCCAAAACATTTTAATCTACTAACACTAATGATCCTAATTTGGCATAAAAGTTAGAAAGTTTAATACAAACTTAGAACTACAAGAAAATAAATAGACAAATTTCACAGTAAGGCCCTCTCTTTCTTGGCATCAAATATCTTTTCTTCTTTTAAATTCTTATATTAAACAAAAAGAACAAATTTTCTCTCATTTGTCATTAATTTATATGAATTGTCCACCAATTATATAACAGTGCACTTTAAAAAAAAAAAAGAATTGTGAATGTTGGTGAAAGCTCATACAGGGAAGACTGCAAGGTATACGTCTGATACCAAATGTTGCTTTTTGGCATTCTGAATTAAAAATGTCTAACTCTTTAAAATTTCTTTAAAAACAGAATATGTAGAGCTGGGGTTGTAGCCAACAGAGTGCTCACCTAGCACTTGTGAGGCACTGATTTCGATTTAGCACCACATGAAATAAACAAATAAAATATTTGTGTCCATTGTATTGTGTCCATCTACAACTAAAAAAGATAAAAAAGGAGTGGTAATTTAAAAAAAAAATTGAATATGTGCATTTCCTCTCAACATGACCTGATGGGAATCTAATTCAGCTTTAGAGCTTACTAAGCAGCATTTTTACACCTGAAATCTTCCTGCTCTGATTTCTGCTTATATTAAATCTTAAATCAGTATTGGTTATCAACATCATATTATTGCAAAATTCACCTTACAGTACAAATAATAATTTTGAAAAGCCTAAGATAATGCTCTAATTCAATACTTCACATTAGTTGTTAAGTAGAATGCTACTTTTTTCTAGATTTTACTTTAAAAATATTGGCTCATTAGATTATATTGGCACTCAAATATACAAATTAAACCAAGATTAGCTTATAAAAAACAAAATACCATAATAGTGAATCCATCTGGCTAACAAAGAAATTAGAGACCCTTACTCTTATTTTTCTAAACTATTTGCAAATGAACCCATTACCAAGCACTATCAAGTATTTGACTGTTTAGGATTAGTAGAATTGTGAATTGGTGATAATTTTATGTTTAATTTTTCACAACATTTATATTTGTCTCAGCATTTCTGCAGCCTGAGTAGTACAACAACCATTCACAACTGCCATTTCTGTCTAAAACAACTGCGCCTTGCATTTGTTAGCTTGGATCAGTTGCCCTTCCCTCTCTTACTGCCTTTCACTGTGAATAAGCACTGATGAAAAGGACTGGAGAGTGGCAGCTGTAGGAGTAGACTGAATCAGGATTGTTTCAGAGATGTCAGTCTTAGATGAAGTATAGCTAAAACAAGGAGTGAATGGAGGCGCAGTTGGGCAGACACTTCTATAATATGGTCTATCATAGAAGATCAGAACAGTCTGGAAAACTCAAAAATATGAAAAAGAGAAAGCTATGTCCTCAAAGTCCTTCCCATATGTCAACCTAAGATGGAGATGGAGCCTTAGGATCCATGAATATGAACACCTTATAATGCCTTGAAAAATTTTGTCTATATGTGCATATGAGTATTTTTCTGGGGAAAGAATCCTTAGCTTTCATGAGATTTTCAAAAAGATCTTCATCTCTAAAAAATGGTAAGTATTTGTGATCTAAATGTCTCTATGTGCTCTTAAACAAACTATGAAGTACTCAGTAAATGATCTTTTTTAACAATTTAAGATCAACTGAACTAAAAAAATCTTTCAAAAAGAGAGGATATTACATTTTTGTTTATAGTATAGAGAGTTATTTCATACATCGACATCAAGATCTTAAAGCTTCATGGCTTAGTAGGCTATGTATGGTACAGTTACAATTAATATTTGTGTATATATATATATTTTTTATTTATGTCTGAATAGTCAACAAATTTAAAAATGAGTATGAATTAATTACCATTTTATTCTCAAGTCATATTGAAATTTATGAAGAACTTACATTATTTTTCCTGTGGATGAGGGAACTGAGCCTGAGACAGGTTAAGAAACAGGTTAAGGGCCAAACAGATACAAAATGACACAATTGTGACTTGACTGGATATATACGTTCTTTTATCAGTATCACATGGAGTCTAATTTTCATTAATATATAATATTCTTATCATAAATAAACCTTTGCTTAATGATCTTTCATCTTTTTATGTAGTACTGAGAATTTAACCCTGAGTATAGCACATGCTAGGTAAGTGCCCTACCACTGAGTTACATTCCTAGCCCTTTTTTAGTTTTTATTTTGAGACAGGTTCTTGCTTAATTTCCTAGGCTGGCCTTGAACTTGAGATCCTCCTGCCTTAGCATCCTGAGTAGCTGGGATTATAGGCATGCACCATTATGCCCAACTTATATATACACAGTATTTTAGTGATTTGGACATTTAAAAAATGGTTAGAAATTGGTCCAAATCCATATCAATAAGGAATATCAAAATTCTTAAAAAACAGCCAAGACAGAAGTAAGCTATGAGAAAAACTGATAATTAACACCACTTCATAATTATTACATTTGTAAAATATATTATGTCTAGGCCTTTCTACAAATTCTATTCATGATGTCAGAATTATTGAAAAATAGTGGATCCTGTCACCTAATATTTTTGTTTCCTCTTAATTCTACCCACTGATCTACTCATAGTCCTTTCATGCTAGGTTAAATGTAATTAACCTTCTCTTTCCTTTACTATTTTATATGTTTTAATCCAATAGAAGCTTAACCAATATAATAAACATCAAGTATTTTCAATAGATTAAAAACATAGGACATACACGTAAAGGCTTGTATTATTCTTTCAAAAATATTTTTATTAGTTGTTGATGGACCTTTATTTATTTATTCTTATATGGTGCTGAGAATTGAACCTGGTGCCTCACACGTGCTAGGCAAGTGCTGTACCACTGAGCCACAACCCCAGCCCTAGGCTCATATTATTCTTAACATTTTTGGTGGGGCTGAAATTGAGGGGAAAATGCATTAGTTATTATTTTTTTCTTCCAGAGTAAGATTTTAAAATATTTGGCAACTATGGAAGATTGGTGAGATAAAGACCCATGATCCAGGACAGGTGTGGGAGGACCAGCTCAGCTGCAGCTGCTTTTGTTTCCTTCCATGTTGGTGCAGCCCTTACACAGAGTTGCCACCATCTTGCTGCAGAACCCGCCTTTTCTGTCCATCTAACTTATTACACAAACCATGGCTTTCTTCAAGACCTCAAATGATGTACCTGCTATTCTCTTTTAATAAATTCCTGGCCTACTATAAATGCTTCTTGTCATCCTAAAAGTTCCCAATTTCCCCTTTTTGTACTTATAAACTCTTGTAGTTTTCACCTGGATTTTTTTTTCCCCAAGAACTCTGCCATGAGTTACTTTCCATAAAGGAAAACACAAAGACTTTTTAACTTTCACCAAATCAAAATTGAATTTTAAGTTAACTTAAGGCAAGGAGATGCCTTGATTTCCTTTAAAGGCAAGAAGAAGCTGATGATACAGGGGTGCTCTGCAATGAAGTCTTTCGAATATTTTTAGTTCAAGGTTTTAGGTTTTGAGAATTATTAGTCTAACCATAAACAATATTATCAACCTAATGGAAAAGAAAACTCTGAATTGAGTTGACTTCACTCTAAGTAAAAAAAAAAAAAAAAAAAACATTTAATTTTATTTCCCTGAATTGTGGCCTGGTGGCCATGGCACTCTGAGTACTTACTCCTCCTTATATTTTAAAGTCCAAGGGGACCTACTAAAAGAGGCCATTGTGGGTTGCACGTAGATATATATATTACACATATGTACTGTGAAAGTATTACGCTTATGTACCGTGAAAGTTATAGCACATGAATTACTTGTACAAGAAAAAATATTCTGAAGAAAATTTAAAAAACACGTTTCCATCAGATCAGAGCTGATACTACTGCTGCTTATAAGCCTGAAGATCATTACTACTATACAACCATGAATAAATCATTGCTCTGGTTAATTGCACAGCTAAAGTTTGAGATGCCTTAAAAAACTATAATATATATATATATATATATATATATATATATATATATATATATGAATATATTTATGCAATAAATGTAAATGGATTAGCTCCCTCTAGAGCTGCTTTGGTTAAGATTTCAGATTAAGTTGTGTCAAAGGCTTGGAAAGTATTAAAAACTGGTATTTTTTCATTCTTTCGTTATGTAGATTACAATTACACTCAATGCTTCTATTGGAGTGTGGTCTTTATGTGGTTTGATAGATCATAACATTTTACACAAACCTTTCTCCTATCACTTT